CAGTATTAGCAGTAGCAGTAGTTTTAAAAGTAGCATTAGCAGCAGTATCAGTAGTTTTAAAAGTAGCAGTAGCAGCAGTAGTAGCAGTATTAGCAGTAGCAGTATTAGCAGTATTAGAAGTAGCAGCAGTAGCAGTATTAGCAGTAGCAGTAGTTTTAAAATTAGCATTAGCAGCAGTAGTAGCAGTATTAGCAAACGTGCAGAAGCATTTTTGAAGAAGTTCTTTCAAAGTTCTGAAGATTTTGTAAATAAAGTGAATATTTTGTTAAGACCCAAAGTGTCTGCAGCCATGAAAGGAGCTGAACAGCACGAAGGAAATGTAGATTCTAAAACAGCGTTCCTATAAAAAGAACCACTTGTGATTAAAGTCGTTCGACACACCGGGCCAGAACCAGCACCGCGTCATCACATTAATCCTAATTAAAGTTCTGAATAATTTTCTCTGCAGGTATTTCAGGTGGTTCTGCCCGCTGAAGTGAGGCCCGACAGTTCCACGGCTCAGAGGTCCCAAACCACCGGACACCTGGTCCTGACCATGCCCCGGGTTCGTACCGCCACACTCCGGTCCCACCCATTAAACCTCAACCGGGTCCGATTCGCCGCTGCAGCTAAACTCTAAAAAAGGCCCGGCCCGCGACACGAGCAGTCCAACTTTCTGCAGCCGAGGTTAATTGATGTTAAATATCTTTAATTTCACTTCCACACGTTCGTGGTCCTCTGAGGAGGAACCAGGATCGGTTCTGATCCAGTTTAGTTTAGAGGGAAAGGTTCTGCTTGACCAGATGAACATAAGAACTTCCTGTTTCATCGTTTGACTGTTAAAGCTTAAAAACAGCTCCTCAGAGAAAACCAGAACCACGGTGAGAAGAACAAAAACAGCTTTGACGCTCAAATAGTTAATTTAGACACAAAGTGTTCCTGAGGGCAAATAAACAACCGAACAAGAGTCACGAACCGTTTTTAAGATTTGAGTCCACAATAAACTGCGCAGTTTAAATCTCAGCCTGAAATTTAAAAAATATTTTTTAGCTCCTTAACGGAAAAAACTCAACAATTCAGTAATTATTTATTTTATGGCAATTAAAAAATAAAAAAGGCAAGATGTTCGAACCCAGGACCGTCTTGCTGTGAGGCTACAGTGCAAACCACTGAACCACCGTGCTGCCAAATCAAGGTCAAAGTTAAAACAAGGTCTTTGCTGGTCCAAACCAGAACTTCTGATCCGCTCAACATAATTTAACAACACTTGACACAACTTTGTATCGCCACTACACAGTGAGTCACAGCTCCAAGGTCAAGGTCACAGCTCAAAGGTCAAGGTCACGGGGTCAAGGTCTTTGCTGTCCAGGTTACTGCTACAGATCTCCGTATGACAGTTTGTAGACGAGCGTTTACGTCTTCTTCGTGTCGAGCTCTTTTGCTGATTTGAAGAAATAAAAATGAAAAAATAAAATTCACAGATTAAAACTTTTTATGCGTCTAATAAAACGACTGCTGCGGCTCCTGCCAGTGAAGCGTTTGCTCCTGTCTGCAGAAACTTTTTACAGCATCAATAAAGCGGGTCCGATGGTACCAGGTGGTACCTCCACAGAGTCCGGGCCGCTGGTGTCGATCATCCAGACGGCTCCAGTTTCGCCTGCGAGCGGCTCAGACACCGACGAGCGCACGTGAAGCTTTTTTATTCTCTGTGTATTTTCAGGCCGAAGGTGAAATCAAAGCGACAGGAACCGCCCGGCGTCCGGGCAGAACGGGTCGGGACAAATGCAGCAGCTCGGCAGAGGAGAACCACCTGATGAGGTGAGACCGAGGAGGAGTTCAGATGGTACCATAAACACTCAGAACCACAACAGCTGTTTGAGCCAAACCTCTAGTGTAAGGTTCATAAAGGCCTCCGTCCACTCTGGTACCTGATGGACAAACGGATCAGAACCTCAAATCAAACATGGAGGCACCTCAAACCTTGACAGGTAACATCCAGGTGTCCTCACACCAGTCTGAGGTCCGAGAGCTGCAGCTTCACCTGTCAGTGACCACCAGTGACGCTGGGAGCTGCTCCCATCATCATCATCATCATCATTTTACGACTCTCCTGACCTTCAGCCGGTCCCGTCTGACGCCATAAAGAGCCGCGGCCCAATCCTGCCGCCTCCAGTTTAACGCCTGATAAGAAAGCAGAGACGAGGCGAGCGGCGCCGAGTTCCTGCAGGAGGCCCAGAGGCGCCTTCGCCCTCAGGGTCCGCAGCCAAACGACCCCCCAGAACCTGAGAGTTCTGGACAGGGTTCTGATGAGTCCAAGCAACGAGAGCGTAATGATGAAATGCCAAATGATGTCTTCCACCTCCAGCTGAGCGTTGAAAGGTTAAAGGTCAAAAACTGTTGCTGTTAAAGAGCCGAACCTCTGGTCATAAGTTTCAAAATAAAACCGGAAATAAAGAAATTAAAGAGCAATAACAGGAAATAAACTTAACAGAAAAAACAAACTGAACATGCTCTAATGATTTTTATCACCCAGAGAGTGTTTTATATATATATATATATATA